CAAAAAGCCGGTGACAGCGATGAAGCCAACAGGACCCGTGGCAGCGGCCGACTCCAGGCAGACCACAGACTGGAGGTCGGGCAGGGCGCAGGGCGCAGGGAGGATGCAGACAGCACTGAGGCTGGGCAGGGATGCAGGGCTTGAGGGACTAGCATGGTCCTCTCGTGCTCTAGGTCATTCAGGACATCCAAGGACAGGGAGCACCACACACACACGCGCGCACGCACGCACGCACACACACACACATACAAGGGGTAGGTTGGCACAGTCAACTCCTCTCTGCAGAGACTCAAGGTATATTTCATCTCTTAACATAGTCCTCATGATTCCAGGGCTTTGCAGGAGTATTTGTGTCAAAAGACCACCACCTTGAAAAGAGTGACTCAACTAAGTCTTTAACTTCTTTCATCAAAATACCAAAGGCTTTGGAAGAACTCCACAGGTGATACCCCAAAAGCCTAAATTCACCAGAGTGAAGCCGTAATTCCACTCGTACTCTTGGTAAAAGACCGAAACCATAGACGATGTCTCCCTTTTGTCCCTTCTCAGATCAAAGGGAAAGTCTTGAGTGGTTATTAGAATAGACACCACACAGAATTTGAGGAACTACACCCCCAATTTCCTGTCACTTTCACCTAATTATGCTCTCAGATGATGTGAACAGTTTCCCTAGAATCGCAATACACATAGCTCCCCGGATCCACCTTTTCTGCTGGGAGTATAAATTCCCGTGTGAACTCCCCCACGCAGTAACTCCTTATTGCCAAAGGACTATCTGTTATAACCAATAATATTCTCGGCGGCCAGCTTGGTGGACTTTGGCTGCCCAGGTCCAAGTTGACAACTAGAAATCTTGCCCTTGGACAATGCAATCACCCCTAATGTAATCTTTATTACCCGTGAACTCTGGGTCACCGCTGGCTTAACACCTCCCTAAACACCGAATAATGTTTAATGTCTGATCTTCTTCAAAAGTGCCTTTCAAACAGGGAGCGGAATCACATTTACCTGGCTGCCACATTGCTGGTACATGAATATGAACTTAGATAAATCTCCTCTATTACATTTTTGTGGGAAGCTATTTGCTAGAGTTTATATTTGTAGTAGGATTCACAGCCACAATAAAATGAGATGCACTCCTGTACCCATGGAGGGAGGGTACTGAACACCAACAGGCCTAGCCTCTTAGTTTGAGTATAGTGATAACAAATGGAAATTATAAACCGAGAAATATTTTCATTATTTTTTTTTCTTTTTGCATAAATGATACTCTAGTGGTATCAGGAAGGCTTCTATTTAACTCTTTCTCACGGGGCTGCCTCCAGGAATCTACGTGAACCGGATCTTGAACTTTTTCCAACTATTTTCATAAAATACCATCAAGACATTTCCTACATTGTTTTCACATTCATGAGGTCTTAGATTTGTTCTTTTAGAAATAATTTTGGAGAAATATAACAGATCTGATCCACGTGTGAGCTACTTATTTAACATGTAACCATGAGTCTCAAGCACACTGACAGGTACTGGGAACCCTAAAAGGAAAACCCCAGGGTCTCCCCACAGAGCAGGGAAGAGAGGCCAGTAAACCAATGATTACACTATTTTGGACAAATGATGTACGCAAGAACACTGCAGGAGCACTGAGTGATGCATTTAATGTCTGGAAGTAGATAGAAAAGTGTTCTTAGGAAAAGTGCTGTTTCAGGGGAGTCCTGGATTTGAGGGAGAGCTAGCAGATAAAAGGAGGCGAGGAGAACAACAGAACTGCAAAACTACGATGATCCACCAGACAGCAAGATGATGAGGAAGGCAATGGTCAAAAAAGTCTACGAGGAAATGGGCTTTACATCTTTAGAAAGGTCATTCTAACTAGTCTGTTGGAGACGACACCTTGCGAAGGGTACCAACAGTGGCCATAAGGAAATGCACTATGAGCACATTTTAGCAGTGCCACTGACCGGTGGTGTGAGAGCTAAAGGCGTGGGAACTAGCAGGGAGTTCAAAGGAGGCCCCAGAGGTGTGAAAGTGAAGGTGGCTGAGAGGACGGGCCAGGGACATGTGAACGAGTGGATGGCGGTTCCTGTCTTACACGTGTGAATGACAAAGCCTCCCTGGGTGACGCGGAGAAGAAGGAAAAGGACCAGACTTAATGAACCCATTCGTAGTCCATGTAGTCTGAGGCTGTCATCAGACATCCAGGAAAAAATGTCAACGAAGATATTTAAGGATGCGTCTTCTGTTTTTAGAAGAAACCCGTGCTGGAGACACAGATCTGAGACTCATTAGCCTATCACTCAGGATGAAACCGGGGGTGCTGATGAGACCGCCCAGAGAAAGGGCAAATCCTTGAGGAGCACCAGCATCCAAGCAAAAGGGGAGCCAGTTGTTTAGGAAACAACAACACCTCCACCTCGAATATTCAGTTAATAAGCTACGTGAGCGGAGGCTACTTCCTTAAGATGAATTGAAACTCGACCCTCTTCTGACTGAGAAACTCCCTTCCCCTGACACACAGAGGTTTTTTTTTAACTAAAATTCTGAAGACAGTTTAAACCAGTTCTCTTCCATCTGATAGAAGACAGGCAAACAAAACAGAAGAAACACAGTCTAAGCAAAAAAAAAAGGGGGGGAGGGAATGGGATAGAAGGATGGAAAAAATGAAGGAAGGAAATGAAATATCTTTCCATGATCTCTTTTCGACTTGGCTCGCGATAGTGAATTTGTACGACCGTGGCCGAAGGGAGAGAAAATATCAGCCAACTCGAAAGATGGAAGAAACCTTTAAAAGGGGTCTTAATTGGCCCGGCTGCCCTTACACTGAAAACTCCACTTAGAAATCCAGTGGAAATAGATTTCAAAACGAGGATTTCAAGCGAAATAGAAAAAAGCAATCTAATCTCAGAGGGTGAATAAGACCAGTGGGTAAGAGCAATTAAGGCCGAGTGAACCAGTATCATACGGTAACTGGGTGTTTTGTCTTCCTTTGAAAACGTGCTACCTATACTGGTTTTCTAAAAATATACTGTTGAATAATTTTCATCAAAAGTAGTAATAAAGATCTTTGTTATTTAAAAAAATATTTATATGTGTTATGTTTAAAAATTAAAAGCCTGCTATTCTTGCCATTTTGCGTAGGTCTTTCCTGAGACCAAGGCTGCTTTAGTGGAGCCACCACTGCCCCCTGGTGGAAGGTAACTATTTCTGCGTTGAGGCGGCTATGAAGTCACAGCGTGTCATTGTGTGTCATGGGTCCATAAACACAACAAAACAACTCTTCAAATGTGTTTCATACGTGAAGAAAGCCTGCGGAGATCCCTAACAAAACAATTACTAAGCAAATGCAAATTCTTTCTCAAAGGCAAGAGGTGCCTAAAACGAAATACTTGAAAACCATTCCATGTCCGATAAGATTATTCAATAGAGAAGTCCCAGACACGAGAAGGGGAATTCTTTGCCTATCAATACCAAGAACTTTTAGCGGTATTAGAGCTTCTTAAACTATCTGCCAGCGACCAAACCCTCTGAGCCACCGTGCTGGCTGGGAGATAGCTTTTCACTACTAGTTCAGAGACTTCGCCCAAATCACCGGTTCATGGCTTAACTCGAAGGTCCTAGAGAGAATACAGTCAACCGTTTATTGTTGCTGACATCCTACTTTTTAACATATAAACTCAGCAAGTGTATAGTCTGCCGAATAGAATGTCAGGCATCAGGAATATGCTAGGAGTTTCACTAGGTGCAAAACGTAAGCGAAACAACAGACGTAGCTGGACAAGTCCCCTGGATAGAGATCTAAGACAAGTGCTGGGGAGGCCCGTGTGACTCTGGGAAAGGAGGAAGCAGAGGAGGGGGGATTTCTCACCCCAGCTTCAGACGTAGCAGCAGACAGCAAAACTGAAAACACTGGAAGAGCCCTGTCTAATTCTGTTCCGCAACAAACACCGTCTCAGAAAGAGAGGTGGTCTAGCAGTGGGCTATGGTACCCGTGTCATGGGTTTATTCTAGGCACTTCTGTAGGTTGACATATGGACTCGATAAATACATGGCAAAGCATGTCCTTGCTTCACAGGCACTAGAGGAAGCCAGCCATTCAGGACAAACAGGTAACATGCATCACAGGCCACAAACAGGAGGAGCACCTGGGAGGGTCCCTCACTGTGACAGAAGAATGATTCAAGGGTGAGCCCTGAAACGGCCTTACCTCGAGTAACATTAGGCATAAGGGCACGATATATAGACGATTCTCAAAAAATGTTCCAAATCCCCACCTTTTCCCATCTCCTTCGCCAACCCCAAATAGACATTTCAATAAAAAATTAGATTAAGGAATGCTAAAAAAAAATGAATATCTAGTCAGTATCACCTTATCTCAAATAGTTTATCCAAACACCTAAGAAGGAAAGGGCCAACGCGGAGGTGTACTTTGTTTAAGCATTGCGTCGTGGGTCAGGTTAAATCTAGAATGACACCCAGAAAGGCGAACTGAGCTAAGCATCAGAGTATACAGGACCCCATCAGGAAAAGGATGGTTCACCAACAGGCAGAGGGGCTGCCTCATGGAGACAGCTGAGCCAAAATCCAGCTTTGCCCACCTCCAGCTGTTGGAGAAACAAACACCCTCCAAGTGACCCTGGTAAAAAGCAGGCAGACAGCCTGACTTCCTAGAACAAAATAGAAAAGAGCACATTTATCTGGATGCATTTTATGGCCTTTGACTCACTCTTAATGATTTTCCACTGGTCCCAGTAAATGTCTACTCAGGTGGTCAGAGAAGAAGCGTCATCGATCTAGCATATCATACCGTAACGATTTCTAAAAGAAGGATGTGGTCACTGAACAATCAACGTGAAGGAAAAATGTGAGAGACACTAAAGAGCTGCTCATTGTCCTGGACTTTTGTTCCTTTCTCAACACAGTGAGGCCCCGAACATGCACATGCTCCGCGCTCTGCTCTCCACGCTCTTCGTGTTCACAAGGTAGGCAAGGGAAGGACTCACTCATTGAGCAAAGGCATGGACGTCCTCCTCTTGCTCTTCTGCACCATGTTGGCCTGATTCCTCAAGGAGATCCGAATCATAGCTGGGGCCAGCCGACAGGGCTCCCCATCCACTTGCATGGGGATGGATTTGTAGGTCAGCAGCATGACCTCCCGACACTGGTGCAGCCTTTCCCCGTGGCCCCCCACTTGCAGGGCGGCCTGTAAAAACAAGAGTCAAAAGGAAGCAAGGAGTTAGTTCTTAACACATCGCGTGCCGCATAGAAATCTCTAAGACGTACGCCAGGGACCGCACGATTTGGGGCAAACTGCACGCTAGGTTCTGAGCTGCACTCATTTGAATTGGTAGATATTCGTTCCCTAGCGACTTCAAGAATATAGAACGGTGTGCTGTTTTTTGCACTTTGACCCTCAGGGCGAAGAGTCACAAATACAATAATCCTATATTACCGAGTCTCAAAAACTGAAATAGCTAATGTAAGTGCAAACCCAAGTTAACTAGTGCGCGGTCCGCAACGTTTGGGCAGGAAAACACGAGTTAACTCAAAAATGTGGTAAGAGTTACTCAGGAAAGCTAGAAACCCCAAGTCCACTAAATAGAAGCAAAAGACCTTTGACAAACATGGAACGTCATCAGCCAGGAGTAAAACAGGAAACCTTGGATAAATCATTAATACACATAAACTAAAATTTCTAAACTTTTGATGAGCTTAACCGTAACTTCTCATGGACAACTACTTTTCACTTTTATGTATTTTTCAGCCCTAATTTAATTATGTTAGTTTAATACAAAAGTTGTTCTTTTCATAATCTATTCCTATTAAATAAGCAAATGTACGTACAACAAAAAAGAACATAAAGGAGATAAAGCACATGGTTTAAGACAGCTTCTAATCTACAGTTGACCCTTGAACAACACAGATATGAAATGCACATGTCCACTTACATGCCCTTTTTTAAAAAAATATGCTTTTACGCCCTGGCCCGTTTGGCTCAGCGGTTAAAAGCATCGGCCTGCGGTCCTGAGAGACCCAGGTTCGGTTCCCACTAAGGGCATGTACCTCGGTTGCAGTTTGTCCCCGGCTCTGGTCAGTCGTGCGGGTGGCAGCCACTCGATGTGTTCCTTTCACATCGATGTTTCTCTCTCTCTCTCTCTCTCTCTGTTCCTCTCTCTCCCTCCCACTCTACCTGAACAAAAAATGGAAAAATGTCCTCGGGTGAGGATTAAAAAAAAATAATAATAAAATAAAATAAAATATGCTTTTACTAAATTTTTAGAGAGAGAGAAGAAGGGAGAGGGAGAGACAGAGACATATTCATGTTCTCCTTGATCAACTGCCTCCTTCATGCCCCCTACTGGGGGCAAGTTATTTTTGCACTTGAGCTCACAACCCGAGCATGTGCCCTGACGGGGAATCAAACCAGCAACCTTTTGGTGCATGGGATGACACCCAACCAACGTGTGCACGTTTTTTAAATGAATATATTAGAAAAATGTTTTGAAGGATTTTCTTACTAGTGTGAAGTAATTGTATCAATTAACCAGGCAACCATAAAACAATCAAATTACTCTTCTGTGTTATCAATGCATGAGCCATTATACGGATTTCTTTTTTCACTTTATGATGGTGTTAGTAATAACGTCTATAGTGTTCTGTATCATATAAGGTAATATTGATGTAGGGACTGAGAGATCTTGTAAACAGAAGATGTAAATTTATTGTATCATAAATGCATACAGTACTATAAATGTATTTTCCTTATGGTTTTATTAATAACATTTTATTTTCTAGGGCTTACTTTATTTTAAGAATACATTATATAATACATATAACATATAAAAAAATGTGTCAATTGATTATTAATGTTATTAGGATGGCTTCCAGTCAACAGTAGGCTATGAAAAGTTAAGTTTTAGGAAAGTCAAAAGTTATACATGGATATTTGACCATGTGGGGATCAGCACCCCTAACCCCTGTGTTGTTCAAGGGTCAAGTGCATATTTAAAGGTAAATATATATTATAGTCAATATGTACTCTACATCATATATTAAGTATGTTCATATTTAAATATGTAGCCCATCCTTGGTTAAAAAACTTGGGCAGGCTTTTCCTTTTTATCTAAAACCTACTTCTATGGAAAATCAATGCAATATTAAAATAGTCTGTTGTTGAGAGCAACAAATCAGTATAACTTCCTTGCCTTAGTAATATATAGTATCATTAACCTTTTTGGGGAATCAATGAAAATCATACAATGTATGTTTGGTTATAACATATAGAGTACACACATTATATTATACAGTTTGATGAATATGTTTTGACACATATGGGAACCTCCATCCAGATCAAGCTGTGGAAAATTTACAGCAACCTAGAGGTTTCCATGTGCTTCTTTCCAATCTACGTACACTCCTCCCACCAACCAGTTGGTAACCACTGGTCTGACTGTGACCACCATGGATTCAATTTGCTTGAATTTGAACTTCACATAAAATAAAGCATACAATAAGTACTCTTGTGTCTTACATCTTTGGCTCATGATTATTTTTGAGTAATATATAGCAAAATGGATTTATCTACTCTTCTGCTGGTAAACATTTGGTTGTTTCTAGTTTTGGGGCTATTAATGATATGAACTTTCTGGTATGTATCTCTTGGTAGACACATATTCTCTTGGGTACATACAATGAGTAGACTTGCTATGCCATGAGTTTATATGGACACTTAACTTTAGTAGGTACTGCTATATAGTTTCCAATAAGGTTGTATTCCAATGCATTTTGAGTGTCAATTAATTTATAATGAAGTAAACTTTAAAAGAGGGTCAAATACTAACTCTAGCCTCAAATTTAAAAGATTTACTCTTTTTTTAAAAAAAGAAAAACATATACTGTCAGCTTGTTTCCATATGTCTCGTCTCTATGAAAGGGGAAGAAACCTTATTATTATTGTGAAGTCAACTTCCACTTATTTGGTTGCTAAATATTTGTATATATCTGATGTTTTGAGATATTTTTGCACTTGTGTTAATTTGAACAATAGAAACCTGATTTTCTATAAATACAAAGAGAAAAGGAGCACAAGAGACAGAATAGGGGACAGAAAATAGAATAAAAACTGATAAGTAAAGAATTTACTGAATGTTAAAGCATTCAGCTGCGTCCTGTACATACAAGTGTACCCATCAGTGGGACAGCAAGAAAGCAGAGGCCAATACCGTGAGAATTCACTAAAATCCCTTTGGCCTGTTACCTGAGCCTCTGTTCCTCAGCTGAAAGATTTTTCTGGCTGTACTTAGGTGAACCATTTAAGTTAATCTATGGATTTGAGCCACTATCTCATCTCCGGCACTTTTCCAATGTATTTCCCCAGCCTTCTCCGTCTCAGCCCAAGATGTATCTGACAACACTGTATCTCTTCATCCACTGAAGAAAATCCCATTTACTTTTTTTCTTAAACAATATATTTTTATTGATTTTTTTTTTTTTTTTTTTTTTTTTTAGAGAGCGATAGAAACATTGATGTGAGAGAGAAACATTGATGGGCTGCCTCCTGTACACCCCCCACTGGGGATCGAGCCTGCGACCCGGGCATGTGCCCTGACCAGGTATCGAACCAGGACCTCTCAGTCCCTGGGATGACACTAAATCCACTGAGCCACATCGGCTGGGCCCATTTACTTCATTTTCTTCCCAATCTTGACTAGTCCTAATGACAAATAAAAATGCAGAACCTACCAGGTAAGAACGTATTCTTCTGGGTTTAATGGACTGAAAACTGCTTAGACACTTTCCAAACTCTTGGCATCGCAGGTGTGCACAGTAGTGCGGAGCACGTTTAAGCCATATCCTCAGCCTCACAACAGAACAAAAGCAAACACCGCAAACAGAAGAAGTAAACGGTTGTCAAGGGCAGTCCCGTTGGCATGTCCGAATCAACCCAAAACGATTGCCCAGGCACAGAGGAATTACCAAAGTTAGCTTTTCAGGGTAGACAGTTCTACTGTTGCTAGGACAGCCACATTAAATTACTCTCGGAGCAACCTAAAGGTAATTTTTAAAATACGTATAAGACACAGTTATTTTTCATCACTCAGATCGGTCTAGGCTTAATGTCCCATCAAGGCACAGGCCCTCCTCGTCAGAAACATCCGCACAATTTGCTAGAATGAATCATCTACTGATGATAATACACTGGTTTCTTAGTGACAGACATTGAATTATCCATTCAATTATGTGTTCCTCCTGAGAAACCTTCCAATGTTGCCTCTCCGGTAGCCTGTGACCAGAGAGGAAACAAAGACAGCCCCCGAGCTCACTGCGCCTTTTGCCATTTACTGGTCTTAGACCGTAACTTCCCTTCGCCCTGCAGGGGTGGCTTGAGATGGCCTGTCCTTCCACACTGCACTCCTCCCTGGTATACCTTCTCCATCTCCCGTCAAGCTGCATCCTCCTTACGACTCAAGTCCTCATTCTACTTGCTGTCACATAAAAAAAGATGGACAGTCCTGGGTTAGGGGAGGAGAGGTGAAGGGAGAGAGAGCCCCCTCTCTCCATGGCTGCCAGCCCCCAACTCCTCGCCTCATTCCTGCAACAAAATACCCACGGCAGAAACCAGTGACATGGAGAATAAGCAATGGAGGTAGTCCACAGTGCTGATAAAGTCTTGATTGGCTCTGTTTTTTTTTTATGACTAATACAGTAGCCTTATAAGACTAAGCAACAAAAAATAGAAAATAAAACTATTTTTTTTTTTTACTGAAAAATAAAATAAACAAAAGAGCATAGCTAAAGAAATGATAACATTCAGCAGGACTGAAAACACAGCTTTGTAATTTCATCACATTGTGGTTTAAATGAGAAAACCCATTTTATCATCTCAAAAGGTACAGAGAGAAATAATAAAGTTTAGTGTCTTTTATGATAGAAAGTTGTTAGGAAACTAGGAATGGAAAGTGACTCTTCATATGATAAAAGTCACCTTCCAAAACACACAGAGAAAATAATATCCAGAGTAAAGAAAATGTAGAAGCATTTCTTTCAAGGGAGAAAGTTACTCACTAAGAACAAAAGGTTTCCACATAATATTGGAAGTCTTGACCAACATAAGTCAAGGAACTAAAATTGTAGTATGGGTTTTACTTGTAATAATATGGTTTCCTATATATTTCAAAATATAGAAATAAAGCAACTGGAAGG